AGCGAGATTAATAACGAAGTCCGTGGGTACTTGTTCGTGGGACTGTACACAGAGGGAGGAAGAGGCGAAGGAGACACGAGAAGACACGAGGAGGCCGGTATCTCCCACAAAGGGGCTGACAATAGCAAACAGTTTAATGTCCCGTGCGTTTATTGTATCTCGGCTACCGTATCGTGGCTTTAACTCGGGATCGGTAGCCCGAGGAGAAAGGGTGAAAGGCGGCGTACCAGAGGAAGACGCGAGATCGCGGGAAGGAGAAGGAGATCGGAACACCGGGACAGATCTGTTATTCCGTTGGACTCTGCCCGTTCGCCGGTGACATTTGAATGCTCGGTCGATTTTACATTGGCCAAGGGAACACCGAGAGAGAGAGAAAGAGAGAAAGAGAGAGGGAGGAAGAAGAGTCGACCAGAGAAAACGAGAACTTATCCGTACGCTCTGTACGCACAGGGCTGTTTGGTTTCTGTCACAGTTCTGAAACGCGTGTCGCTTTTCCACGCATGATGCTCGGTCTGTGTGTGTCTTCCCTCGGACCGAGAGAGAGAAGAAAGAAAGAGAGAGAAAGAGAGTAAGGACGGATAGACGATTCGCCTCGTAATTACCGCGGTATCTCCGATGTTCGTTCGTTCGGCTGGCGAAGTAGCAGCAGTTCGCTGGACGACGGGTGTCGTCGTGGCCAGAGCCGCGTGGAAAGAGCGAGAACGGAGAAGCCGGAGAGGGAGAGAAATTCCAGCGAGAGAGGAGAATCCAGGCGGTGATACGAGCGCGAGCGCGAGCTCAAAAATTCCACGGAATCTCGGGAAAAGGCGAGTGGCTGTTGCCGCAATTGGTCATTGGGCGATTTTTGCCGGCATTCATGCGTCCGTTCTCGCTGTATTTATTGGAAAGGTTTCTCTCGTAGGATCTGCTTGTACACGAGGGTTAACTAAACGCCGTGAGCCGTGCCTCTTTTCTCATTCGATATTCTCCTCTTTATTTACGAGCGCTTCCCGCGATTTATCTTCTCCCCTTCGTCCTTCCCCCCTCCTCCTCCGTCTTCGTTCTCCTTTTCGCTGGCGATCGGCGAGCTCGCGCCGCGGCAACCGCTCGCGCTTTTACGCTCCTCGTAATCGCGGCATCGTCCGCAATTAGAGCGGACTCGATGAAAACGCGCGGAGGGTATCCGGCGCGTATCCGGTTCAGCGAGACCGATTCGATTCAAAACAGCTGGATCCGAATCGAAGGGAAGGCGGGCAAACGTTCGACTTACGCGCGCCGTCCTGGCGAAACAAATCACTCGACCGGCGAGACCGATCGATGGTATTCAGCCGCGTCGATCCTCAGCGTCCGCGACATAATTTCTACAATGGCTGCGCGTCGTGCACCGTCTCGAATCACATACTTGCGTGATCACATATCGGTCGTCGATTGATCGCGACGCCTCGATTTTTGTCGAATCGGTTCCATCGAATCGTTCGCCCTTGGTTTGCAAAAATCGAACCTCATCGAATTTTCAAATCCCCTTGGTATCATTCGCATTGCGGTATCTCACCCTGAGCGTTGCCGCGAGGACGTTCGACGCGTCCGTTTAAGGCAAGAGCCGAGATTCGTCGGTCGGTTGCGTTTCATTGCGTGACCCGCGGACAAGAGTTACGCGCGTCCCGTTAAGCGAGCGGCGTCGCAAAAAAGGACAGCGGCGCGGCGGCAGCCTCGCTCGCTTATAAATACTGCGCGGATGAATCCTCGTCACCTTATACAATCGACGAGCGAACGGATCGCGAATCGAGCGGAGGACGATGACGAACGATGCCAACGGAGATTCCACGTTCCAACGCTCATCTCCAACGGCGACTAACGACGAGCTCGGCAGCGAAACGCTTCGCGAGTAAACGCGAAAATCAGAAGTGACGCAAGAATAAGACGCAAGAGTTGGGGGCGAGGAAGAAAGACGACTGTGCAGCGGGACAGGGAGGAAGAAGAAGAAGAAGAAGAAGAAGAAGAAGAAGAAAAAGAAGACGACCACTCGCAATTAAACACGGCGTAAGTCTCGCTCGGAGGATAATGCCCGGGAATGTTGATAATTGGCTGAGCCGTCGGAGCGACCCGAGACGATGGGCGCTCCGTGCACCTGGCAGCGGAGTACTGCAAGATCATCGGCTCGCGATCCCTCGTGTCTAATTGATTCCAAGTGATTTATATTACCTGCTGCTCCTCTCCGCCTCGAACATTCCCGGCCCTCCACGCCACGCTCTTTTACCTTTTCTTCGACCACGAACGTCGTCGCTGGCCAAGCGATCGAGCCGCGAAGACGCGTAGAGACGCCGGTAGGTACCAATAACTTGGTCGTACGCACGACTCGCGCGAGATCCGGAAGAGCCGGAAAGATTCGGCCATCGGGAAGGTTTTCTGACCATCGTGTAAAAGGATGGCGAAGGAAAAGGGAAAAGAAAAAATGAAAGAGAGGAAGGGTAGGGCGAAGAGCGAGAGTGGAGGAATCGCGATCGAGCGAACGACTGGGCGAGCAAACGGGTACGAGGCGAAAGGCAGGAGCCAGCCAGAGCCTTTCGCTCTCGAACCTCGATATCAGATCGCTCGTATAAAACTATCGTATCGTTTAAATACGCACTGAAAGGTGAGGCGATGCATCGGAAGATACGCGGGCGGTGGCAGCCTGCCCCTCTCGGGTTGCGTCTTCTCGTTCCGTTCGTTCCGTTCGTTCCGTTCGTTCCGTTCGTTCGTTCGTCCGTCCGTCCGTCCGTCCGTCCGTCGGTTCGTCCGTCCGCGTGTCGATCCGCGCCGAAGATACCCGGTTGGAATCCATGGGAACCACGGCGAACCGAGCTTAACGCGTATAACCCCTTCCCAAGCTCGCGCGCAGACCACAGCCAGAGAGACCATCCGCCGCGAGCCACGTCTCTCCCTTTTCTTTCCCTCTCTGGAAGCTCTCCTTCTGGCCAGCCCAGCAATCGTTTCCTCTTCTCTCGCGTTTTCTTCCCAATCGTCCACCTCTCGGCGAGATTTCGAGGCTCGATCCTTCGGCGGTGTGTGCGTCGCCGCGCGGCATTAGTATTCGCGACTGGTTTTCGCTTAAACGTTCGAAAAGGATAATTGCCTCGCGGCGCGGAAACGCTTCGGCTCCGATTCGATCGCCGCTGCTGGATCGGCCTCGAACGATCGCCGACAGATACGCGCTCCCGATACTTTTGATGGGGAGCGGCGCGTTGGCCGCGCGACTGCACGCGAGCAACCAGGCAAGCGCAGTCGCGCGCCCGCGCCTCCAAAGGAACCGGTAATTGGACTCGCATTCCGCCTTCCGATTATAAGTTAATCCGCTAACGGGCCAACCGGCACTCGCGAGATTCCATCGAGGTTCCGCTCGCGCAAATTTCCATCCCTTCGATCGCGAAAGACCCACGCTGCATAGGTTTCTCCTCTCTCGAGTGTCGTCGATCGGAAACATACGTAGAAATATACGGATAGAAGTGAGAGAGTGAATCGGAACGAGTGAGAGAGAGTGAGAGAGAGGGGTGAGGGATAGCAGGGTTCTCTGGACACGCGGAAATAAAGAAAGGGTTCTTGGGAGGATTTGCAAAACCCGGATGCTCGGACAGGTGAGAGACAATGGGTGACAGGGAGCCGTTGGACGGAGGCGGTGGTAATCTGCCGTTTTGAAAAGGGGTGGAACCTCCGGCGTGCATTGTCCGTCTAATGATGGAGTGGAAACGTGACAGGTTGAAACCGAATACACACGCCACCGAGAGATCCGACGTCCTGGTTCTCTCCCGCTTGGCTCTTGGTTCTCTCGTCGTCCGTTCCACTTCGGAACGTCGAGCCTGTCGCGACGAACCTCGTCATTCTCGCGATCCTTCCACTTCGAGGACGCGCGCCCTTTTTCTCCTCGAGAGAATTCCGATCTTCCGTACGGTTCCAGATCGAGAATTCAGACCGTTGAGTCTCTCTCTCTCTCTCTCTCTCTCTCTGCGCCTCGTTCTTTCCGATCCTGCGTCGTCGCCGAACGTCGAATCCGTTTCCGCCCATTCAGCGGTTCACTCCGATTAATCGACTTATCTCCCCTTCGCGATTACCTCGGTTCGGGGTAATCCGATTTCTTTCCTTCGAGTCGGCGTCTCTGATCCAGAGGGATCGCGTCGGGTCAGATACAGCGAGGAGCAAAATTGAGTCAATAACAAAAATTTTTAAGAAAAATATTTTTTTATTGTTAAATACAGTATAAAAGCATGAAAACTTTTAAGATAAGGTTTCTTCCTGGCTGAACAAATTAAAACACATAGAATCAATTTTGCACCAGAATTCTTTCATAGTCAGATTTACAAGCTCTATCATATCTTAATATTTTGTCCATAAGCCATTTGCTTAGATAATAGCTCTGATACGTCTTGGCACACTTTCAAACACTCTTGAGCAGAAATCAGGCATTTGATTCCATTGTTCTATAACACGAGCATGTAATTCCAGTACTGAGCTAGGAGGAGATTTGTATGCGTCTTGAATTTTCTTTTTCGATATATTCCATAGATTCTCAATGGGGTTTAGATCGAGGCTTTGTGCAGGCCAATCTAAGATCGAAAATGCCTGAGTAGTCAGCCAATTAGTTACGCTTTTCGCTGTATGTTTCATGTTGAAAAACGGGCATCTCTTGCATACAATTTGACAAATGTTCTTTATACATGTATTGATTCACAATCCCTTCAATTTTGCGCAATGGGCCAATACCATCTCTCGTCATACACCTCCACATCATACATATGTATGCACATGCCTACATATGTATATATAACCTTAACGTATATAAAACCTTACTTATATAAAAATCAAAAAATAGCTTCAGTTTCCTTAAACTAGAAATAAAGAATCAGATTTATTTTCATATTTTTATACTTTATTTAACAGTAAAAAATGTTTTTGTTATTGACTGAATTTTGCTCCTTACTGTATCTCGAGGCTTCTCGAGGGTAATGAAACTTGCCCGATCGATTGCAAATTCGTGCCGATGTTCGCAGATACCAGGGAGACGGGCTTCGTGAACGCCATCACCGCGGCCGGTGTGACTTACGCAGTGACGAGAGCCTGCACCATGGGACATCTCGTCGAATGCTCGTGCGACAAGATGACGTCGAAAGGTAAGCAACGGACGAACTTGCATGCATCCTCCCCCGAAAAAAGGTGGTTCACCGTAAGAGAGACTCAATGTCGAACGACGCGAATTGCGCAGGCAATCGGCTGGACAAGCTGACCCGTACTGTCGAGATGGAGAAGAGCCTGCCGAACGAGGGTGACTGGGAGTGGGGCGGTTGCGGCGACAACGTGAAGTTCGGATTCAAGAAGTCGCGGGACTTCATGGACGCCCCTTATCGCAAGCGCAGTGACATCAAGACGCTGGTGAAGCTGCACAACAACAACGCCGGTCGATTGGTAGGCGGATGTTTTATCCACGGTTATTTTATCCGAAGATTCCCGCGATTTCACTTTGCGCCGCCACTTTGTATGTATGTATGTGTATCTATATGTGCAGGCCATCAGGGACTATATGAGCACGGAGTGCAAGTGCCACGGGCTCTCGGGCTCGTGCACGGTCCGTACCTGCTGGCGGAAAATGCCGGCGTTTCGCGACGTCGGGAACAGGCTGAAAGAGTCGTTCGACGGCGCGGCGAAGGTGATACCGAGCAACGACGGGCACAGCTTCATCACGGAGGGGCCGACGATCAAGCCGCCGGACAGATTCGATCTGATTTACAGCGAGGACTCACCGGACTTTTGCAAGCCGAACAGAAAAACGGGCTCGCTGGGCACGCAGGGACGACGTTGCAACTCCACCAGCCAGGGTGTCGACGGATGCGAGCTGCTCTGCTGCGGCCGAGGCTACGACACCAGGGTCGTCAAGGAGAAGATCAGCTGCGAATGTAGGTTCCGATGGTGCTGCGAGGTCACTTGCAACACCTGCCTGGTTAAGAAAACGGTCAACACTTGTCGCTAACGCGAGCCGGCTGTCCGCCGACAGTATTTCGAATAGACGTTTGTAATATACGTTTGTCGCGCCGTCGGATTGTTCGGGCGCGAGGGTTCCAGTCACGAAGAATTAGTCGTAAATATGTCTTTCGAAGCTTTCCAAGTATCTCCCTAGCTGTTCGTTCCCGAGCGTTCTCGCGTCGCTTTTCTCGCTTGTGTCCGCCACCTTTCAATCTCTCCCATTCCCTGTTCTTTCTTCTTTTTTCTTTTTTCTTTTTTTTTTGTCTCCTTGCGCTTACGCGTTCTCCGCATCTTCTGTACATAATGAGACTGAACGAAGGGCGAAGAGTTTATAGTGCAGCGTGAAATGCGAATAAAAACGTGTATCCCCGACCGAATTCTCGTTCGTTACTCTCGTTACACACACACACACACACAAACCGCAACCACGTCGATCGACAGCAAACGTTTCTACGACAACAGCAAAGTACTATGGAGATCCAGCGACGCAGAGGCGCAGCTTTCCACCGAGGTAAGTCGAGATATTTCACGATCTGTGTAAAAATGCGAGACAATAGACACGCCGTGGCCATGTAAAAACGTTTGAACCGCGTGCTCGCGGCGGTAAGTCGTGAACGCCGGAGGCCCGGCCAGACGGCGAGGGAAATCGGCGAAACGTCGGGACGTTAGGAGGCCTCATATATTATCGCGTCGTGTAGAACACGGGCTTTTAGCTGTAATTCGACCTTGTACACGGGAGAGGTCGTGCAAGCAATAAACAACCGGTGTCTACATCTCCTATAAAATAGTTTTACGACCAGACTGAAGAGAGGAATTTCGCATAACCATAAAGTCGGGAAGGAGGCTGCTCGCGCCGTATCGCGACACGCTCGCCACGTTTCGGGGCGATAGCGGAAGCCATAAACTCCGTGAGGAGAGATCTTTCTCTCCCCCTTGACAGGCAGCTCGTCTCGTCCGTTCGATGGACGTGAAAATTAACGCGTCCGTCGTTGTATCGCGCGGGACGACTGGGACCACGGGTCTTTTTATTATTATAAAATTTACACTCACGTACGAATTACAACCCTTGCCGAAAGCGAGAGAAAACCAACGAAACTGTACGGTCGAGAAAGCAGGAGGAACGTCGGCCGGACGCAAACGAGGCGAAGGATGAACGGAAGGGTTGAACGAGGACGAGAGAGAAGGAGAGAAAGAGGGTAAGAGCCTCCAGGCTGAGAAAACTCGTTGGCACTAAGTTAAGTAAAAAATTTCGAATCGCGCTTACACCCTCCAATTTAATACGTGACGCGGCAGACAGAAAGAGAGAGAGAAAGAGAGAGAGAGAGAGAGAGAGAGAGAGAGAAGAACGGCGAGAAGAGGCCGCGTAAAGGTCTCTTAATAGAGAGGTCGACCTCTGGAGGGTAGGAAGGTGGTGAGCTGCAATTAGCCCCACCAGACCGCACCGGCCGGGCCGTCTCGGCTCGATTAGCCCATGGCCAGGAGATTGGTCTGCTTTGAGCCGACTGGGTGGTCCAACCGGGGTAATTTTCGGCTGCCGTCGACGTTCCCCTTCGAGGGAAAAATGGCCCCCTGAAATTGGTGCTGGAGTTACCGCGCGTGTACCGCGTGCCGCTGATCCTTACCCGCTGCTCACCGCGCCCGGAACGCGCCATCTTTACTCTCGCCATTCCTCTGACGTGACACGGCCCTGGGAGATCCTCAGGCTGTAATTCAATTTCGCTCGGACATCCGTCCGGTTGTTATTCGCTAATGAAAACATCGCCGTCGCGTTGTCCACTTCACATCGGACGCTCGATTTTTAGCGATTGTCGCGTATTATCGCGCGTTATTTCCAACGATTGCGCTCGTCTCTGTTGCTCGACGTACTTTCGGCGCGAACATGCAACGTGAAGTACCGCGAAAGCTCGTAAAGACGGAAACGAAGGGAAAATGACGGAACGACCGAACGGGCGCTAGCTTGTCCGAGTGAGGCTGACCGGGCGAGCGAACGGAACTCTCCCACGAAGAACGATCGTTCGGCACCGTTCTTGGAACGATTAGACGCGGAACAATGGGGTCCGCGGAACGCACGTGGGTCGTGACGCGCGACAAAACCGCAAAACGCGACCGTGATTAATCGTCCTGCTCGCCTTCCCGAGAGGGAGAATCGAGAGTGCCGTGCGCCGGCAACGCGCCGTCGCTTGTTCTCCTCTTTTCCTTCTCTTCTCTTCTCTCTGTCGTCGCTCCAGTCTCGTCGAGGTCCTGCCATTTCGCGCGCTCGCGTCTCTCCTCGTTCTCCTCGTTTTAATTCCGAAGAAAGCGACGACATTAAGACCATAGCGTTCGTCGACTCGTTTTTCTACCAACGCTGAACAAGCGGTCGAACGAATCGAAAAGGATAATGCAAGATCGGAAGGAAGAGAGAGAGAGAGAGAGAGAGAGAGAGAGAGAGAGAGAGAGAGAGAGAGAAAATGGAAGCAGGTTCTGGTACGCGTTAGACTGGTGCAAGTTGCAAGTGTACAGGGGCAAGACACGGAGGCGCCGGAGGTGGTCGGTCGTTCGAGTCGGCCGAGCTGCTCCGACGCCAATATTAATTAAACGATCCCATAAGCGCCTAACAAACTGGCTGTACGTTAGGTGGTTTATTGGGGTCCCCGAGCAGGACGTTAAAATGTTCCAATCTTAATTAGGTAGGTGTTTACAGGAGGATAATTCCACGGGCTTTAAGCCGGTGCACCGTTTACCGTTTCTACCGGACTCGGGCCACCGGCCGCGACGACTCTCCTCTTCTCTCACCACTTTCCTCGGGATTATTCCTTCCAAAGATATTTCTAGTCTGCCTCTCGCGCGCGCGCTCTTTTTTCACCAGCCAGCAGCTCTCGAAGGACGAAGGAACCCGCGTCGCGCGAGGTAGGCGGAGGAGGTCGTTGAAATCTTTACCGTTCCTCCAGCTTCTCGGAATTTCTTCGATCTCCCCTCCGCCCCCCTGGACATACTGGTCTTGCGTAATTAGCCACCCCTCCTCCACCTTCGTCTCGAATAAGGGAGCGATCGTCGAAGCACATTGAAGGAAGAAGTCGGCAATTTTCATTCGGAACGCGCACCGGATGTGCGACGTTTCGTCGTCCTTGCGCTCCACATCCTCGTCGTTCGTCGTTCGGTGGTACGACTGCTCGCGTTGCTCGATTTTCGTCGGAAGAGCTTGGAAGCACGGAGCTCGCCTCGGTCTGCGCCTCGGACCAGCCAATTCGCGTCGATTCGTGAAACATTTAGAAGCGGTTAGCGGTTCGACGTGCACCATCGGTCTTCCGCGTTCCTCCGAGAAACGAGCTTCGCCTCGCGTTTCCTTTCTCCCCTTCCACCGTAGTGCGGCAGTCGTTCGACGTTGTCCTTTGCTCGTATCGTTTCGTATCGTTGAAACGAAAGCGGGGAAATTGCGGCCCGCGGCCAGCTCGCGATGCTTATCGCGCCGGTTCGACGCGCGGCCGTTGCGATTCGATTCGCCCAGCGGATTCAAGCGAATCGCGGAAAATCGGTTAAGCCGAGCGAATAGTTTCGGCGGATAGAGTCGCGCCAGAACTGGTGGAATGGGTGGAAATTACCGTCGCGAGAGGAACTCGTAATTCTCCCTGGGCCGGAGCGTGCGCTCCGCACCGTGTCGTAATTATCGATCGCATAATATCGCGGAATTTATACGACGGGGTTTTTCCTCCGCGCGCAGGAATTTCGCTTTATCGGCGTAGCGCTATCGCCGTGGCTACCTGGCTGAGCTCGTTTCGAACCCGCAGGAAAGCCACGTTCGTACGTTCCCTTCTCTCGATAACAGAGATTGCGATTTTGGATGTAATTTATGCACACACACACACACACACGCACGCACGTTCCTTTATATATTTACATATATTTTTCAATATAATCTGTGGATACACATCTTTCAGTTCAGGAATTTCCCGAATGCGACACGCGAACGATAGAAAGGCAGAACCAATGCTTCTTCATTGAATCGGTATCTTATTTAACTTTAATTCTCATTTATTAACGGGTATGATAGTTAAAAAGAGAGAAACAATATTCGATATAATACTTGAATGACAACAACAATAATTAGAACAGCATGTGCAACATTCAATATTGAAATCAGGACTGAAACGGGCAGAGAGAAAGATTGATTCTTTAAATCGAACAAGTCCGTTATTGGCAATTATTGCGTTCAGCGATCGATCCACGAAACCTCGTGACGGGATTAGTTCAAACAAACGGAGAACGCCTTTCGGCGAAACTTTTCCGATCGGCAGAAAATCGTCGGGAAAGAAGCGAAGAAGTGCACGAGCAAAGAAGGGGAAGAAGGGGGATGGAGCGGGACGATGCAGGGACCAGAGGCAGAGCGGCAGCAGGACGATAAATATCTTTGTGAGGTCGCGTTTGCGAGCACACGACATTGTGGGCAATGGTCGTAAAGCGACGTGTTGCCGAGCCCTCTCGCGCGGCCCTCGGCTCTCTCTCCCTTCTTGGCCGAGCTCCAGCTCTCTGTTCCCGATGCCAGATTATACGCGCTGGACCGTGGCACCGACAACTTCATCCGCGGGGCGCCTCTGATTTATCCTTATTAATAAAACTTTAAAGTGCTGTTAACATGTGCCGGAGGGTGGCGGTGACGGCGAGCGCGCCACAGAAACCGAGCGAGAGAGACCGGCCGGGAGGTTCGGACGACCAGCTGCGACCACGAAACAGGAAGGTTCGGCCCACGACCGAGCAAGTATTGCGCTTCCTCCGAAACTTTGTACGCGCCAAAAATTTCATCGCAGTTCCCCTTCAATTCCTCTCTTTCTCAATGTCACACGTTCGAGCGTTGTCTCATTAAACGAAATTATCATTGCGAAAGTTTCGACGAGCGATGACAAGGACAGAATTCTTCGTGAAGTTGTTTACTCTGGAGTTGTTTCATCCATGAGACGAATCCTTGTTTGCGAGGCTCAGTCGAGAGGTTACGAAAACTGTGACACGGTGGAGGAAGATGAGAGAAGGATCGGCGAAAAGCAAGGAAACCGAGGTTCGAAACGGTCGAAAGTTTCTCGGGCAAGGTGGAGCACGCACGGGCGCACAGCGGGGAGCTCGGGACTGCGAGAATCGTGGCTCGCGGGACAAGGGGGCGGGAGGAGCCGAGCAGCTCCTCGACGAGATATCAGGCATTATTAAAAGTACATAAACACCGCGAGGTAAAACGCGAGTTATGACCGTGGCTGGCTGTGAATTAAGATGGGGTGACGACGGAGCGATGAGCGCACGACGTAAAATGAGTCGTCGTCGGACTTGCACCTCGCTGTCGCCTAGCCACCCCCTCCCCCAATTTCCTCTTCGCGTCCCTTTCCCTTTCGCGGGTGTGTATCTGTTTACGCGA